TAAAACAGAGATGGGATGTTTGGAGGGAATCCATTCAGGCTTTGGGATTGTCCTGGTGACCTTGGGCAAGTCACCCTGGGCCTTGAATTTCTGCCAAGTAGGAAGAATGGTGCCTCCCTGAGAGTATTATCCAGGGGATCAAGAGAGACAATGGAGCATTCTAGACTGTAAAGTGATCCGTGTTGTCAACCATGATGCACCTCGGCGGCTCTCTTCCTTTATTTATTTATTTGGCGGGGGTTGGGGGGGGGTACTGGAGATTGAACTCAGGGACACTCTGTCCCTGAGCCACATCCCCAGCCCTATTTTGGATTTTATTTAGAGACAGGGTCTCACTGAGTTGCTAAGTGCCTGGCCAATGCTGAGGCTGGCTTTGGACTCGCAATCCTCCTGCCTCAGCCTCCCCAGCTGCTGGGGTTCCAGACGTGCGCCCGGCACCCAGCTGAGGCTGTCATCTTCCTAAAGGAAAAAGCTCTTAGAGGATCAGTGGCTAAAGGCAAGGAGGCTGTCTGCAGAGTGAAGGTTGTCCTGAGCCCGGCCACTTCTGAGCTATGACTTCCGAGCTAGTGAGGGAAGCGGCAGATGGGGAAGGGTTGGCTCTACCTCTGCCCTGCCCCAGCCTGTGGGGAGGGGGTCCCAAGATACTGGCCCTGCCTGGGCTGCTCAGGGAGCAGCAGGGGCACGCACCACCCTGGGGTGGAATCACCTCTTCCCCTTCCAGGGCCTGTGGCTGGACAAGAGCAGTGACATTATCTTCTTCGCTGATTCAATCCTAGCAGCACCACCACCACCCCCCTCCAAAAAAGGAGGCCCTTCCTGACCTTTCTGGACAGTTGACCGGCTGCACCTTTCAGGGGTCTAGTTCCAGTCAGTGTGGGAAGCCTGGGGCAGAATGGTGGCTAGGGATAACAAGAGGAGCCTTCACCTACATGGAGCCGGGTGTCCGTGGCTGCAGGAGGAGGGGGCTGCCCTAGGCTGACAGTCTGTCCGGTTGCCGATCACATGCCCATCCCCTCAGCCCTCAGCAGCGCATGCGCAGAGGATGGCTGGGAATAGATACCAATCTGGTTGCAGCAGCAGGTCATCAAAACCTGGAACTGTCCTTGCCAAACAGGAACATCTTGCCCCAGAGTTGAGCTGACACCTGGGTGGTGGGGAAGGAATGAAGAGATCTAATCAGGCTCCCAGAGTGAGCAGGCCTGGATGGCCCTGGCTTTGTGGGGTCGTTTTTTGTCAGTTATCATTTATTCAGCCTTGGGTGCGAGGTCGTAAACAGGCCTAGGTCCTGCTTGCCTTGCTCACCGTCTAGTGGGTAGAATTCCAGAAGCACCTGCCCTGGTCATGGTGGGTGGACTGTTTAGCCTGAGCAATTGCACCTGGGTTTTGACGAGTGGATAGGAGTCTCCGGAGCAGGGACAGGAAAATCTCGGGCCTCACTTCTCTATTGGTTGAAGATTACAAACTGTCCCTGCACAAAATTCAGGAGTGGAGGGAGGCGCCGTGGGGGACAGAAGAGCCTCACTCAGGAACGAGGCCATTCTGGGGCTGAGGGCAAATCTCCCGGATACGACGCTGTTGGCTTCTGCCCCACTGGTCAGGCCTCCAGCTCTTCCTGAAGGTGGATGGAGGAAGATTTGGTGAGAATTACGTTTTCTTTTTTTTCTCAGATTTAGCCCTCCCCCGGGGGCCCTGATTGTGGGAGTACTGAGCTGGAGAGGGTCGGGGGATCAGCTCAGAGTGGAGCCCGCAGGCCTGCCCTGTCCACGTGCACTGCTGTCTTCATGCTCGCCCCTGGTCCTGGGCACCCAGCAGAGGCCAGGAGCTGCTGTTTTCTGGGCCTCAGATTGGGCTCAATGATTCAGGGCCCAGATTCCTTATAGGGCTGTCTCCAGTGGTCCCCTTCCTCCTGGCTTTGACCCAGGTGACTCTGCTCTTCCTGGGGACCCTTGTATCTGGCTGTGAGCCAGCTGTGTGCACTAAGCAGCTGCCCACCTGGACACAGGGCAGCTGGCATTCACCATCCCCGGGACCCAGTGGAGCAGGGGCAAGTCCAGTGCCTGGAGGGGACATTCAGGCCGTCTGCAGTCACAGCCCTTTGTCACCTAAATATCAGGGGAGGCTGAGCTGTGTGTGGCTTTGGTCTCAGCTGAATTTCTTTGCATCTGTCTTTGGAAGAGCTAAAAGCAGGTCTGATTGTCATGTGATATCCCCATGTGACAAGTGAGAGTGGGGTTCAGTCACCTGTTTCACCAGAGGGACACTGATGACTGACTGGCTTGCAGTTCCTTTGTTTAACAGACACACGATGGAGCACCCACTACCTGCTGGGTGTCATTCCAGGCTCAGGGGATCAGCAGGAAGCACGGGCCCCACCCTCAGGGAGCTGACCTTCATTCAGGTGGATAGACCAGCAACCAACAAAGGCTCCTAAGCAGGCTGGGTTGTGGTGAGCACTGTGAGGCTGGCTAACGTGGGTCGGGGAGAGGGCCTGGCTGGATGGGGAGAGTGTCCTTATTTTATACAGATGGCCCTGGACGGCCCTGCAGTGAAGGTGACATCAGAGGACAGACATAGGGAAAGGTCCTGAGGCAGTGCAAAGGCCCTGAGGCAGAACTATGCCCAGTGTTTGAGGAACAGCAAGGAGAGCAGGGTAGGATTCACAGGAGGGAAGATGATGGAATTGGGAGAACTGACCGGCCCTTAGCTGTCCTTCTCTTGTCTCCTACCACGCCCAGCTGAGTCGCATGGGCTCAGTGCCTATCCCAGAAGGCCTATCCAGGGGGCTGGAGGCCAGGGCGGTTCCATCCCCGAACATGCTGCATACACAGCACTTGCCATTGCCCTGTCTGCCTCTCCTCTCTCTGCAGCTAGATATAGCTCTTTGAAAGGAATATTTATTCCTTTTCGAGTCCTCAGTTCTGAACGTGGCCTGAATGCTGTTTGCCTGTTCCCAACTCCCCCTCCAGCAGGTCTTCTCTGACACCGAGTCTCAGAGGGAGAGCAGTGTCTGAGCAGAGGTGTTTGTTGACTGACTGCTGGATGACAGAGGCCACTGCTGGAGGAGGGGCAGGGGCTGGGCAGATGCACAGCTTAGGAACAAGGCAGGAGAGAGTTCTGATTTCAGTTACCTGGAGTGATGTAGTTGCTTCATTTTATTCTGTTGCAGAAAAAGCAATTGGGAATTTTACTCTGCTTCAGCCACTGGTCTAAGCGTTCGTTAATGTGCTGAAAAGCATGGAGAGCAGATGCTACTATTATCCCCATTTAACAGGCCAAGGTGTTTGTTTGTTTGTTTGTTTGTTTGTTTGTTTGCTGCAGCACAGGATGGAACCCAGGCCTCACACACACTGGGCAAGAGCTCCACCCTGAGCTGCGCCCCCAGCTGCAAGCCAAGGTTCTTGGGCACAGAGTGG